GTGGACCCTTTGCACTTTGTACCTTCCGTGGATTATATGTTTCATAAACTTCCATCATGCTTGAAGATATTTCTGGATGACTGAGAAGAAGAAATTTGTCCAGATGAATTAGATATTTGATTATGCACAAAAGTTTTGAAAATAGTTGTATAAGAAAAAGGAAAAATTTTATTCAGAGTTTCATGGAGACGTTAGGCGTTCTAGATTCATATCAACCGCCTCCCCGAAAATTGTCCTCAAATCCCCAAGACAAAAGACAGAAGGAAAAATATTTCAAAGTGCCCGTGCTTGCGTTTGGAAGGATATCTTTAAAATTAGTTGCGTGTATGGTTCAATAGATGGCCTATTTCCAAGATATTCCAAAGAAAGTCAAAGGCTAGATACGTAGAGGAATTTTTTTTTTTTTTTCTTTTTTTTAGGTTGAAGTTTTTGTGTTTACAAGTCTGAATCATTTCTCGAAACTCAATTGATTGATTGTGGACAGGCGCTTAAACAAGCTTGAAATGTTGAAACGTCGTGGAAAGGGTCCACCAAAGAAGGGCCAAGGAAAGCGTGCTAAAAAGAGTGGCAAATAGAGAACGACTGTGGTCTTGAACTGCGTTACTTCCATGTTTCTTAGGAAGGATTAAACAGAACCACAATATTGCTAATGCTTTTCCAATGATCTTTTGGATTTTGACGTACGATACGTAACTGTAAACGCTCACTTTCAGTTGTCATGTTTTGGCTGACATAACTCTCGATAGATGAATCAAAGACGTGCATCTTAATTTTGTACATTCTTTGTGCTTCTTCTCATTTTTTGTTTTTAATCACTCCTATTTACTTTTAGCAAGTCTTGAATTTAAAATATTTATGTATTTCGGATAGCGTGTTAAATTCCTTCTCTAAAGTTTTAAATTAAGCTCAACGTAGTATAGAGCCGTGACTGGCATGTAAAGGTATTGAGTTCAAATCTTCTTGCCGCTTATTTACGAGTGTTTGATAAAATTATCCCCCCATAGAAGAATTATTGGTAAAGAATATAAGAGGATTTTTCTTTTATTTTATCTTTGAATTAAAATTTTTATAATTTTGTCAAAAAAAAAATGAAGTTTTTAATTACTTTTCAAAAGATGAGAAACGTTTTCAACTTTTTATCCAGAAAAAAAAAAGGAGTAATAATTCCAAAATACCGACGTACGTCAAGAGCGACATTCGCAACGCTAAAAATGTGGGAGGCTCCGACCTGTTTTACACGTGGAACAGCGTATCAGCTGACAATTTGGTGCATGAAAAATCTATAAATTCTTAAGAGTTCCTACTCAATGGGTAAACAGTTTAATCGATAGAAGCGACGCCATAGAGATGGCGGCGGCGAAGGTTAAGTCATTGTTTATATACCCAATAAAATCATGCGCCGGAATTTCTGTTTCTCAGGCACCCATCACTTCCACCGGTATCATCATCTCCACTCTCTCTCTCTCTTTGGTTCGACTTTCCATCAATAGTTGGTCGCAACTTGTTTTTTATTTCAGTAGGATGAATTGATTTATACATGCTGCAGCACATTTTTCGTTAAAAATCTGCTTTGATTGGCATGAAAAAATAATTTGGAAAATTTTTTCGATGACTCAAATATAGTGGTTTCACGGGCCGGGGAGACTCAGCCTGTTAGAAAACCAGACCATCACTGGTTATCCCGCCGTTCGGCGATCCACTAATCCGGCCGACTACACTGCACCGGTTATTAAGAGAAAAATTGAAAGTTCTAAAGAGCCGTTAGCCTCTCATCCGAGAAAAAATAACAATTTTTTTTTTTTTTTTTTTTTTTTAAAT